GAATTTACCGGAAGACCAAATCAGACTGAGAATATTCAACCAGTTTGAGAATGTTAAACGAGATTACTTTGATACGAGTTTCAAATTTTATTGGGAATGAATACCCAAAGAAATTACAAAAATAAAGAAAAATTAATAGTTTGGTTCAATTAATATTGACCGTGTTATCGGTTACGTTGCTTGAACTTATACCGAAAGACGAAAAGAAAAATTATCGGTTCAAAAATCTTGACCGTCGATGTGTGGTGTTACTTGATTAAAAAATTCAATTAACTTGCTTTTCAGAATTGGCGAACTGAACTGAACGAGAATGGTTATGACTGCTGATCAATGGTGTTCGCATCGCAGATCGATCACCATTCACCCCCGCGGAAATAAATAATCAAAATATCCACAAAAATTTTGATTGAAAACGAGCTCCAATAAAAATCAAATAAATCATGCCGTGTGAAGACTGAGGACGATATTGATTTACAGTGATATGAATTCAAAAGATAATTATTTGATTCAATCTCAATGATGATTTATAATAGCGGAATTTCTAAAAGAAAAAATTTATCAAAAATCTATTGAACTCGAATATGTATAGTTCACCGACGTACAATTTTGTGACCAACAAAATGAAAAAAACGACTAAAAGATTTGAATTTTTCCTTAAATCTAATTTTATGATGTACTAAATTGATTCGATGATGAAATTGCTATATTCCCTCAGCTGAACACGCGGTTATTTTATGCCGGGCTTAAGTGTGGTTATGTTCAACAAAAACTTATTCTTTTTCACCCGTTTAGTTGGGCGCCAATGATTTGCTTGACCTTGGTTTGTCGGTCCAAACAGGAATCTTCATTTAAGGTTGATGGATAGCTCGTTTCCAATGGATGTGGCAAGAAAGTGGCTGACTTACGTGTAATGATTTTGCATTACCCGCTTGTGGGGACTCAATTGCTGTCAAATGAATAGTCCAGATTTGATGCTCACAACTTCTTTATTATACGCAACAACATGGCTGGGGATTTGCCGGAAGGAATGTGACGGCACCTTTTGTCTCTATTAATTTCCACTGTGGGGTGAGTATCGACTCCCCGAATACCGCCGGATTTTAATACAAGCTTTTAATCCACTTTAATTACTTGGTTGTAATTCCGTTCTTGCGAGGGCTGATGAGTGTGGTTCGCTCCGTGTCCAATTCCAAAAAGAAATCTATTTTTCTAGCTTCGTGGTATGTGACCACCGATTCTTTTATCGTATGTCAGTGTGCACGTTTTCATAGTGGCCATGTCAATTCGTGTCTATACTGATATAATGGTTCGTGTCTTGAATAACTATTGGTTACGTACATTCATCTGGCAATCCCCCCCAGTTTGAAGTTTAACTTTGACAGTTTTTTTTTGTTTACATTTCTCATGATCGTTCTTATGTCTATTATTTGGCCAATAAAAATAATAGATCAGTATGGCAACGTAACTTTTCGCAAAAATCTACTAAAATAGTGCCTAATAAGTTAAATCTCCGATCTGACATCGGTTATTTGGAAGAAGTCATTTTGATTTTCATTTTCACATGTAAAGGGCACAGAAATGAAGGCGTTTCATAATTATGTATGTATGTATTTGACAAAAATAACAATTATATTTTAGTTTTCATACATCTTCAATTTTACAGCAAAAATGAAACGTTTAAGTTAATCTGGTGATGACGTTATTGCTGTGTATCTGCTGATGACTTGTTGTTGTGAATCGATAATCGATTAATTATATTTAAGTAGTTTCTTTCCAGTACGTAATGCGGGATCCCGCGTGTGCCCAAAATAGCCCAGAAATCATTCCTGTACTCAACAAAATGGGTAATAGAGAGCGAAAATTCGAACGTATTGGATCGTAAGTGCCTTCTTCTTCCTGCCCGAAACAGCCCGGACTCTTTCTCCGGGTAAAAATGGATAACGTGTCAAAGTGCATATCAGCTGTATTGTGTTTACATGTTGCCTGCATTTACTTGGTGCTTTTAAGGAATAGTGAATGGCCTGTTGATGTATTTTCAATCTTTATATTTAAAATCAAATTTGTGAAACCAAAATTCAATTTTCAAGTGTTTGCATTTAATACCATATTCTGACCGACAACGAAAACACTTTGAAAACGTGTTTTGGGATTGTGGGCTGAAGGCTGTTCACACCGGTTAGTGTTTTCGTTAACATTTCTCATCTTTTGATTGCAGTTTTGCTAGACAAAAACAAAACCAAAACACTTTTCCTTCATTTTCTTTTCATTTACAACCTTTAACTTTTATTCTTATTTTGCTTTGGTCAGGAATTAACAATAAATCCGAAATTAGGGATGGGTAGATTCGATATTCGAAGCTTCGAGATTCGAATTTTAATAGAATTTTAGCTCCAAAATGGCGAACTTTTGAAATCGAACTTTGTGGTGCTAAAATTCGGATAAAATCAAATTTTTCAAAAAAAAGTCGAATTTCGTCTTTATTTGCAAAAAAAAAAACAACTCTGCAACTTCCTTCTTTGTGAGTAAATTTGACATCAATATCTGTGGTACCACAAAGGCAAAAATGTGGCTTAATAGAACTCTTCACGCCCTATTATTTTTTTTGTTCTTTGTTCACTTAAAGATCTCGCTTTAAAAAGCAAAATCATACGTTTTCATCAAATGTAAGACTTTTTTATTCATTGTAAAAGTATAAACATACATACGTTTAAATATATAAGTATGTAACGTGAAGTATGTACAAATTTCCTTTGTTTTTGTAAAGCAAGAAAAATAAATATAAGTACATTATACGTCCCAAAAAATCAGTTTCAATATACATTTTGTCAATTTTTTTTTAATTGATACTAAAAAAATACGTGATATATTTGATAAATTTTTGGATTTTTTCTGATATTTTTTGAGATATTTATTTGAGAAAAACATACTTCTTATCTATATATATAATACTCGAAGGGATTTTTTGTGCAGCATAAAAGATCTGCACGGTTCGTTCGCTTTTCAAAAATGGGGTGTCAAATTAAAGCGCTTGGCCTGTAGATGTGCAATAAGGTTTTACATTTTCGAAAAGAGTTGCCACCTGATAAAAAATTGCATTCAAATGATTTAATAATCAATGCCATCAGATCCATACCGTCCGTTCGATTTTCAAAAGTGAGGTGTCAAATCAAAGGGCTCTGACTTTTTGTGTGCAATAAGGTTTAACTTTTTCGAAAAGAGTTGTCACCTTTAAAGGAAATTAAGTTCAAAATAATACGCCAAGGCATTTTTTGTTCCGCATAAAAGATCTGCCCCGTTCGTTCGATTTTCAAAAATGGGGTGTGAAATTAAAGCGCTTGGTCTGTAGATTGGCTAACTGGTTTTATTTTTTCGAAAAGAATTGCTACCTGCAAAACAAATATACTCAAATTATTTAATAATCAGTGCTATCAGATCAGCACCGTTCGTTCGATTTTCAAAAGTTAGGTGCCAAATTAAAGTGCGCGTGCTGCAGATGCACACTATTGTAACCCTGCTATTAGTAAAATGATCTAGTGTTACTCTGCTATTAGTAAAATAGCAAGTTGGCTGTGATTTATTTTTATCTTGTTAATTAGACATATATATATACCGACGTGTGGAAGTTTTTCAGTTTTGCAATAAAATAGCAAGTATACAAAATAAGGCGCTTCTAATTTCTACAACAGATTGGCGATGAGTGTAAAAAGGAAATTCGACATTAACATGGACGGCGCCCAATTTCCGGAATTTTTAGCGATGCAACAGCAATTATTGGGTGAAATCCTGAAACTAAAATCAAACGCAAACGCAGCGTGCACTACACCGGCGACAGCCGCCATTGTTCCGAATTTCGATATGTTCGATTCGTCGAAGGAATCTTTCAAAAATTATATTCAACGATTCGGAAACTACATCGAAATGAAAACTATTAAAGCAGATAAAGAATATTGTAAAAAACTTCTGCTGAATTCAATAGGAGCAAAAGCTTTCAATATGGTTACGGCATTAACAGCACCGAATACTCCGGGCGACATAACCTATGAAGAATTAGTGCGAATTCTTAAAGAACATTTGTCACCGAAAACGAATGTGTTAGTTGCACAACATCGTTTTCTAACAAAATTTCAACGTGAAGGGCAATCCGTAACTGAGTACGTGGCATTCTTACGCGCTGAAATAAATGAGTGCGAATTTATATCAAATTGCACGTGCAAGTCATCGGTGGCAGACATTTTTCTGCGCGCACAATTAATTCGAGGTATCCACGACACCAGCATCCGAGAGCAGCTACTACAGGCAAGTACAGCAACTTTTGATGAAATAGTCGCAAAAGCTATTTCTCTTGAAGCCGCTAGGTTGAACGCTAAAGAGCTGAACACGCGAGTGGCAAATACCTGTGAGGGCGGCATACCAGATGTCAACAAAATTTCGAAGTTGAAGAAAGGGAAACGCCCCAACCCATCATCAAAGCCCCTAAAAATTAATTACAAAGAACTGGGTATGGAAGGCCTGTGCATCCGATGTGGGAGGTCTAACCACATGACAAAAGAGTGCTGCGTCAACAAGTCGAACCTGTGGTGCTCCCACTGTAACAAGTCAGGACACGTCAACAAAGTGTGCATTTCAACTCGCCTCGGGAAAAGTAAGTCAACTAAAAAGGTACATCAGATTCAAAACATCGACTACGACGTTTGCAGGATTACTAATAGGCGTCAAGATATACTGCAAGTTTTCAGATCAGAGCGTTATTACGCCAACGTTAAAATAGAAGGTCAATCAATAACATTCGAAATGACACAGGCTCAGGATTTACTTTCTTGCCACGAGGCATCTTCAACAAACTTAATCTGCGCAATCGTCTCAAACCAACAAATCTAGTATTCAAAACGTACACCAAGGCAATCTTTAGACCCGATGGGAAAGCATGCGTCAACGTAGAAGCCAACGGCAGGTCAGCAAAGGAGGAACTATACGTGGTTCCCGACAATTGCGCACCTATAATGGGTAGATCGTGGATCCGGAACCTACACATAAACATTGTAGACCCGGAAGAATCCAGAGTAACTAATATACCAGAAGTGCAGCAAGTTGATGTCACCGACATTGACAACATCGTTTCTGAATTTCAAAATACCTTCCAACAAAGAATCGGTTGCGTGCCAAATTACGAGGTGTCGCTCAAGGTTCGTGAAGGTGCAACGCGGGTCTACGTGAAGGAGCGACAGGTGCCGCACACATTAACAGAACGAGTCAACAAGGAAATTGATGAGTTAGAAAGAGCGGGCATAATTACAAAAATTACAAACAGCGACTGGGGTTCTCCGCTCGTCGTAATTCCAAAAGCAGACGGAGGAGTCCGCTTATGCGTAGACTACAAGGTAGGGGTGAATCAACGCTTGATTAATGCACACTACCCAATTCGGAAAATAGATGAGATTCTTAACAGTTTGCGGAATTCGAAGTATTTTTGTCGGCTCGATCTGTACAAGGCATACCTTCACATTCCAGTTGATAAACAGTCAAGCATCATTCAAACAATTTCGACACATCGGGGAACTTACCGGATGAATCGGCTTTCGTTTGGTATTAAAACTGCCCCGGCCGAATTCAATCGAATAGTTGACCAGATATTACGGGATGTACCCAAAACTGAATCATATTTCGATGACATCGTGATACACGACGAGTCCATACAAGAATGTAAAAATAACCTAAAAAAGTGCCTAAAGGGACTTGATAACTTTGACCTTCATTTAAATCATGCAAAATGTATATTCTTTTCTACAAGTATCGAGTTCTTGGGGTACGTTGTTCAGCACAATAAAGTGTTGAAATCACCGGCTAAGGTCGCCGCAATTGTTGACATGCCGGAACCACACTCAATTGAAGAGGTACGTCGATTCCTTGGCATGGTCACATATTATGGCAGGTTCATACCGAACGTTTCAACCATTACAACCCCGCTACGGAAACTATTAAAAAAGGGCGAAAGGTTTCGATGGTCAAGCGAATGCCAAAATGCGTTTAGTTTATTAAAACAGGAAATATCCAGCGATAGAGTCTTAACACTTTATAATCCAGAAATCCCACTTCAACTTGCTTGTGACGCAAGTCCTACAGGTATAGCAGCGGTCTTATCGCACATACAAAATGGAGAAGAGAAACCTATTTCATTCGCGTCACGATCGTTAACACCCGCAGAACAAAATTATTCGCAGCTGGACAGGGAAGCACTGGCGATCTTTTTCGGGGTACGCCACTTCCACGAATACCTGTACGGACAAACATTTAAACTTGTAACGGATAATCAACCTTTAGTAAGGATATTTCATCAGCACTCGAAAATACCGCAAATGACTTCAGCGCGACTGCAAAGATATGCCGCATTTCTATCCGGATATGACTACGAAATCATCCATAAGCCCGCCACTGACAATTGCAACGTGGACTGCTTATCAAGAGCGACGGTGCTACTAAATACAACGGAAATAAACTTCATCGACCAAGAAGTTCATCAAATATGCAGCGCAACAGTGGAACGCATTTCTTCGACTAAATTGAACTTCAAAACAATCCAGACTGAAACAAGTAAAGATGAAGTCCTTTCGAAACTGTTACGAGAACTACAGCATCACAATCGCGAAGATTCTGAATTTACAATTGATCAAAATGTAATATTTAGAGGACAACGGGCAGTAATTCCGAAGACACTTCAACAAGCCGTTTTGCAAGAACTACATTACACGCATGTAGGCATCACCAAGATGAAACAACTTGCCAGGCGATACGTTTATTGGAAATCGATCGACAAGGATATCGAACAACATGTACGAGCGTGCGCTGCTTGTATTTCCCATAAAAACAGTCCAAGTAAAGCCCCGTTACACCCGTGGGAAGAGCCCGTAGGCAATTGGCACGAGTCCACATTGATTACGCAGGACCATATCAAGGTAACTTCTTCCTCGTAGTAATAGATGCAAAATCTAAGTGGGCTGAAATTGGCGTATGCAAGCAAGCACCATCTTCAACATCGACCATTCACATTCTTCGTAACATCTGCTCCAGGAACGGATATCCAGAGGTCGTGGTATCCGATAATGCAACGATCTTCAAAAGTGACGAATTTTCTACGTTTTGCCAAAATTCTGGTATTTTCCAAAAATTTATAGCGCCAGGCCACCCAGCCACAAACGGACTAGCAGAAAGGAGCATACAAACTCTCAAAAACAAATTAGCCGCAATGTCAAAGGAATCGTTACCTATGACAGAGAAGGTGAGAGAAAATTTATTTAAATACCGCATTACGCCTTTGATTAACGGGAAGAGTCCATCAGAGATGTACTTACATAGACAAATTCGTAGCCGTCTAGACTCACTAAGGCCCGTCAAGCACCTGAAATCCTGCCAAGGTGTTAAGAGCGCTAGACAACTAAGTGTGGGAGATAGGGTTCAAGCCCGATATTACACTCCCAACAAACCGCAATGGAAGTTAGGTACAATTATCAGGAAGTTGGGGTATCTTCATTATGTTGTAAAACTAGATGACGGGTGCACCTTCAAACGACACATAAACCAGCTACTCCCAACGAGCGTATTAAGGAAAGACATGAATACAATGTCATTTTATGAAAGCAATATGTCAGCTGAGATTCAAGCTCCAGTTCAACAAGATCTAGTTCCAGTTCAACAAGATCTAGTTCCAGTTCAACAAGATCCAGTTCCAGTTCAACAAGATCCAGTTCCAGTTCAACAAGATCTAGTTCCAGTTCAACAAGATTCAGTTCCATTTCGACACAATTCACTACCGGGTCAACAACAAAGTCAACTTCCAGCCTTACAACAAAATCCAATTCCAGTATTACTACCGACGAAAGCAGTCCAACACAATAGACATAAACGCCGCAGGAGGATTGAAACAGACTTAGAAATTGATCCAGATCCGAAGCGGATATGTAACGGCGAGAGTAACTCAGAATCACCGAACGTAATTGAACACCCCCAAGTATCGGAACCTGAGTACCAATCCTCTCCGACTCGTAAATCAACTCGGAGTCGTAGACCACCAAAATATTTAGATGAGTACGTTTCTGAGTAGACTACAAACGTATTATAAGTCCTCATAATACTCTTGTGAGCATCCTTAATTTTAACTAGAGATATATGTGTGGGAGATCTATTGTAACCCTGCTATTAGTAAAATGATCTAGTGTAACTCTGCTATTAGTAAAATAGCAAGTTGGCTGTGATTTATTTTTATCTTGTTAATTAGACATATATATATACCGACGCGTGGAAGTTTTTCCGTTTTGCAATAAAACAGCAAGTATCTAATTTCTACAATACACACTGTGGTTTCACTTTTTCGAAAAGAGTTGCCACGTTTAAAAAATTAAGTTGAAATTATTTAGAAAGTTAAACCAATTATTACAAATTGGTTGTCGATCGAAACGGGTTTAAAAGCTTTGCCTCTTAACTTCCCTGGAAAGTTGCGACCTGTTTAAAAAGTTAAATTTAATTTAAATTAAGGGAATTAGGTAACGGACATACATATTTATCGCCATTTGAGTGCTAGGCGAAAATATTTTAAGAAGACAATAGTATGTAAATATTTTGATGAGGGTTTCCACCTGTTTCAAAAGTCGATTTCAGTTAACTTATACACAACAAAATATTAAAACATATCAAACAAAAGAGTGTTAATAAATCTTTAGTTTCAACACTAACAATATTTTTGAGGTGTTTGCAGAGGGATGCCATCTGTTTAAAAAGTTTAATTTAAATTATTTAATAAGCTAAGTAAATGATTACAATATTGGTATCAATCAAAATGGGTTTGGCAAGGCTTTATTTCTGAACTATATTTACATGTTTAAAAAATCAAATTCAACTTAATTCATCAGTTAATTAAAATATGTACCACAATGTCATTCGAGGGTAATTTAAGAAGATTATAGCTTGAAACTACGTCTGAAGAGGGCTGCCACATGTTTAAGAAGTCGAACTTAGTTAGCTTATACGAAACTTATTTGAAATATGGGTGCCAAAATAAAATATTCATCACCATGTTAGGCGAAGGAAATTTTGGAATATTTTAGCTTGAAAATACTTTTTACGAGGTTTGTCGCCTGTTGGAAAAGTCGAATTTGATTAACTTACATATATACAAATTATATGAAATATTAAAATACGGGTGTTAATTCCGGAAACATTTATAATGTTGTAAAAGAGTTGCCACCTGTTTAAGAAGTTACATTGAAATTATTTTGTAAAAAAGATGAATTATCAAGAGATAGATATCAATTGAGGAGAGGCTCCGCCAAACACTAACATATGTGTAAGCGCTAATCTATTATTATTATTAGATATCAATCGAAATGTGTTTGAAAAGGCTTTATATCTGACCTCTGTTTGAAAAATCAAATTCAAATTACTTCATAAGTTAGTTAAAATTTGTGTCACCAGAGAAAGAGACTGAAAAAGACTTTAGCTTGAAAATACGTTTGAAAAGGATTTCCACCTGTTTGAATAGTCGAATTTAGTCAACTTATACGCAAGTTTTATGAAAAAAAAAACATCGAGTAAATAAATAAATATCTTTTATTAGGCTTGCCACCTTTTCGAAAAGTCGTACTTATGAGGATGTCAGTCCTCTCACTTTCTTTTATTTTCAATGTAATTAATGGCATTATCGATTGCCCAACTCTACTTGAACGGATTAGCTTTAATGTGCCGCAAAGAAGTCTGCGTAATTTTTATCCTTTTTATATTGATAACTGCAGAACTAAATTTGCGAGTAATGCGCCTATTTCGCGGGCCCTAAAGGAATTTAATGATTTATTTTCTTCTAAGTTAATTGACTTTTCTCTATCTAAATCTGCTTTTGTGAGCCTATTAAATTCAATTATTCAATAAGCATTTATTGTTAATTTTTCTTTAGTCTGTAAGGTACTTTGTACTGTAGATTTAAAATGAAATAAATAAATAAATATTTTAGTCTTCTTAGACGAAACCAAACAAGTCTAGTACATGATATACATATGTATTGAAAATATGTACATAAAAAGAATGCAATTTAACTTCGAAATACAATGGATAATGGCATACGACCCCAAACTGGAAATTAATCTATGTGCATGTATGTTGCGTTAACATTATTAAAATATTTATTTATTTTATTTATTTATTTATTTATTTAGCAAACACACAACCATAAGTTATTTTAGTGTTTGAACTTAAAGAATATTAATCATAATAATAATATAGGGTAAGTACATAGTTAATGTAAGAGAGGTTGGAGAGGANTTTATTTATTTTATTTATTTATTTATTTATTTAGCAAACACACAACCATAAGTTATTTTAGTGTTTGAACTTAAAGAATATTAATCATAATAATAATATAGGGTAAGTACATAGTTAATGTAAGAGGGGTTTGAGAGGGACTCAGTGGAATAGTAGGATGTAAGTTATGCAGGGTGATGAGATTGTGAAGGTATAAAAGAATAGCGGATAAGCAAAACGGTAGAAAGAAAGATATGCGTACATAATAGCAATTAATTGGCCAAGTAATGTAGTAGTTCTGCCCTAAAGCACGGTGTACTCTTAATTATTTTAATTTTATGTGGCAGAGAGTTCTAAAGACGGACAGCAAGCACAAAGAACTGACGTTTAGTTACAAGACAGCTAAATTTCATACTAAGTAAGTTTTGGGATCGAGACCATTAGGTAAATTGGAGTCGCTCCTTAAGATACTTGGGCTCTTGAGAAGTAATCACTTTGTGAAGAAGTGTTAGGCATCTTAGCTTTACCAAGTCATCAAATTTTATAGAAAAAATTTGTTTGGAAAACACGGATACGTGCTCATGGCGTTTTATACAATAAACGTATCTCGCAATGTTGTTGTACCGGATATTCAGCTTACCACGACACAGATTATCACAGTTGGCATACAGTTCGCATCCATATAATAACGTTGGTAATAAGTATGCTAATAGCAGCCTAATTTTCCCTGGGGTAAATTGCTGAGTGGTCCATAGTGGTCGCAGCATACCATAGACTTTGCCTATTGTACTATAAATGTGATTATTCCATGTCAAATTTCTGTTAAAAATTATTCGTAGGTTCTTTGCAGTGTCCACAAATTTTATAACAGAATTGTTCAGTATCACTTCATTGCAGTCGTCGAGTTTAAAAGCCTTTTTATAAATAACGATACACTGGGATTTGTTTGAATTTAAGAGTAACCCGTTATCGTAGGCCCACTTATTGACGTTTTCTAAGTCAGCGTTGAGATTATTAATACATTTATTGACGGATCCAAGAGGACAACTAACATACAATTGGACATCATCGGCATAAACATGAATATTACAGTACTTTAGTACGTTTTGAATATCATTCACGTATAATACAAACAAAAGTGGACCAAGAATTTAACCTTTGGGAACACCTTTAGTTATAGGTAAATAGCTGGATAAGATATTACTGGCACAAACAGCTTGCGAACGATCACTAAGGAATGATTTTATTAAATTCAACGCTGGCGCAGAAAAGTTGAATAATTTTTTAAGTTTCAATCCAAGTAGTCCGTTATCAACAGTATCGAACGCTTTGGAATGGTCCAGAAGTGTTAGAAAAGCTACGAGATTGTTGTCGATATTTAGCCTGATATCGTCGGAAACCTTAATAAGCGCCGTAGTGCAGCTCCTGTTTGATCTAAAACCGGATTGATGCGGGCTCATCAAAGTGTTGCGACTTAGGAAGGAGTTTATCTGAGAATGCATTATTCGTTCGAGTACTTTAGACAGGAAAGGAAATATTGCGATAGGTCTGTAATCTCCATTGGATTTCTTAATTGGAATGACCTTGGCCACCTTCCAACAGTTTGGAAAGACGGACGTGGTTAAAATGGTATTTAAGGCATAGGTAACATACGGTAGAATTTTTGGTAGTATACATTTAAAGAATT